AATTTTGGCGCAAATTTTAAGTATTTAAATGTCCAGTGTTATAGCTTTGATACAGAATTAGCAATATATAATCTCAGCAAAGATTTCATTAAACATTTATATGACCTTTTCTGATTGTGACTAGAAAATTACATTTGAATTTAATTTTCAAATTCTGCATCAATAGAATTTTTCTATAGCACCTTGTAATAACCAGACCAATAATTACGGTTCTGAAAGCTGATACAACATCTAATAATGCGGCCATTTGGTTGCACGAGAAACAACAATAAATGTTGATACGGTATAATCTTATTTAATAAACCAAATTTTCGTGGTTTTAGCTCCAGATCCTATAGTAATAATAATTGAATCTGATATTATTGTCTAAGGATTCAATAATTTCGTATGATCTATCTATTATCTATTTGAACGTCTTTGTTGTAGAGAATTCTGTTGTTTCCATTGGTTGCTATCAAAGTATTTTTTTTGTTGTTAATTTTTCTGTTATGACGAGAAATTCCAAGACAATATGTTAGTCATAAGAATAATAAGTTGATAAAAGACACCAATATCATATCTATTAATAGTATACCTTATATCGAATTCTACGACATGTTTCAAGTTTCTTAGTCTTCATAAATATTCCAGAAATTGGGATCGAACAATAGAAATAATATCTAAAATTCTTGAGAAGTAGTACTCTAATGTAAAGCAAAACCAATTGTCTTCGCTATAATAATCTAATATTCAATAAGAATTTTTTTCCACCACTTATTCAAGTTTAATAATATAAATTTCTGAAATTAAAGCATTTATTCCACTACCTTCAATATTTTCCAGTCATGCGGGATGTCAATTGCCAGCACTTGTTAAACAGCACGAACAGCGTAATCTTCGCAAGGAGTCTTACTGAACATTATATAATGTATTGTGAAGGAAGATAATCAGCAAGCATTCAGAAATTATCTGGAAGATTAATTGGGTTTTTTTAATTTTGGCCAACAGAAAATCGGATCAAAGTTACTAAATCACGTGTGTGAATTTGGTTTAATACGCGAATGACATCATAACGATAGTGTTAAAAAACGATTTCCTAGTTCGATATAGACAAAAACTTGAGTAAATGAAGTTGATTAAATGATCCATTCATCAAAGAAAACATCTACCCAAATTAGTAATGATTGAATGTTTCTAATTCCTCACAAAAATTCATTATTTTTAATAAACACTTCACGTGTCATTATTCATATTTTATTAGAGATAGATACGTGGTAAGCTGTTATAAAAATAGTACAATATTGGAGAACGCATTCTAACATATAAAAAAAATATATATAATTTGTAATAAATTCAAATTGAATGTAACTTTGCAACATGCCATTTCTCTAAACTTGAATGATAAATCATGTAATCTAAATGAATGAAAAGAAATCCGTGCAGAATATTAATAAAATAAATAAATACTGCATATAAGTTTATACATGAAGAAAATAAAAACATTACCAAATTTAGACGGTTATGATCATTCATAAAAAAAGACCGTCTAAAGAAACATCTCGACGTCGTCCTTTTTTTCTCAGAACAAATTCAACCTGCGTTGCGATGTTTTTCCAACAAAATGTTCATTGTTCGAATATGTTTCTAATTTATTTTTCGTCGACTCTATTAAATAAAAATAAGAATAAGAAAATTCCTTTCACGAACGTTAAAAAGAACTAGAAAAAAATTTTTTTATTATACCTTTTTTTTTTCACTACTGCCGAATTATTTTTTCTAGGTTTATCTTGACCAGCGGATTCGACGACTTTACATTTTTAATTTTTTTCCTGCAAAGAATTCACTCCATTTTCATTTTTTATAATCATTTTAATGTCTATTAAATTTGAAATTCATAAAAAATTACCTACTGATCATAATTTTTTGTGACACAGAATGATTTCTGTAAAAAAAAATGAATATTAAATATAATATCTCGTGATAAATCAGATAACGGTTGTATGGGATAATCTTTTTTTTTATTCTATAAATGAATTTCATCTTTATTCAGATTGGATAATCTTTTTTTTATTCTATAAATTATTTCCCACAGAAAATACCCTACAAAATCTCATTTCTTGCTCTTTTTTAACTTTCAACTCTTTAAATTCTTAACTTCGTGCAAGTGCTAAATATTTAAGTTAATAAATATACCGTAGCTCTAACGATGATGGAAAATAAGTAAGTTTTCATTTAATTTCATGCTGAATATTTATTACCAAACGGAGTCTTGAAGAGTACTTGTTTTTTGGTTGGATTATCAACTTGATGTAGCGAAAGTACTATTCTACTTTTGATATACTCGTAAAAATAAAAAACACCCCCCCCCCCCCACTTTCACTAGGATTTATATCTAACAAATTTTATTTTTTTTCTTTTTAAAAAAAATTAGGTTATCATCTGCGGAAACCTATCAAAAACCCGTAATTCGTTCAATGCCTTGGAACCATTCAACAAGGACTATTGACAAGTATTCAAGATGGAATAGAAACAGTGCGAACTCCCAAGATGGCACTGCAAATTATGAGGTTGATTATTTCAAAAAAAATAGTTCAACATTATAGAGGTTGATATTGTTTTAAAAATATAAAAGCGCACAATATAGAAGCGCAAAATAATCAAGGATAATCTTGGGAACTAAAGATAAATTTTTAGACCCATATATTGATCCAAAAAGTTAGTTCAAGAGTGATGTTTACAGCATCGGTGTAATTTTATGGGAGATATCAAGTGGTCGTTACATCGAGGCGAAAACTGCGACATTCTTATGGTAGAGATTCACAGAAACAATTTAAATTTTATGTCGGTATATGTAAATAGGACATCATTTTGGGCGCAAGTGGAAGCAAGAATTGTTTAGAAGCTCACTTGTTTTAAAGTGGTGGATAAATACTAAATCTTTAGTTAGTTTCAAGTTTATGATTATTCTTTAATTAATATTTGTTAGTTTCAAGTTTATGATTATACTATTTTGTTTATAATTATCACTTTTAGTTAAGTTTCCCTAATCTCAATAAAGTAAATTATATAGTTTTTATTAGGTTTCAATATTTATAATTTCTCATAATAAAGAATTTGGGCTTTCTGAAAACGAAATTTAACTTAATTAAAATTGTTTAGAAAAAAATTATCTGAAGGTGTTTGATTCCTAAACATCTTAATCTTTACCCATTATTTTTTTCGGTGATGAATCCGATTTTTTTGTCATCGACCTTTGACATTTCAATCAGCCGCTTGAGTTGCATCATCATTGGTATCGTAAATATATTGGCCGACGAAACTAAAAAAAAAATTCTAGTTCCGAAATTATTTACTTGGATGACTGAAAGTGAAGATCATCTATTACCTGTTAGTACTTTTTTTTTTTTGTTTTCATTTGTCTTGACAATTTATTGAGAGTTTAATTCTAATTATTAATAATTATGTGTCAATTTCTATTCATCAATGCTAGGATTCTGATACCTTCACTTTAAATTATTAAACAAGCGTTCATCTCGCACCCAATACCAAAATTACAAATATGTATGGAATAACAGATTTTGTTACTTTATCACTTTCTTGCCCTCGCATTCTTATCAGGTATGCAGAACGGTTCTTAGAGATAAAATTTGAGGAATAGTTACTTTGTTCCTGTAGAAGAAATGAACGGTCATATTTTGTGATGAAGCGGGAATTAGCACAAAAAACTAATGAAATCAAGCGATGGTGTTAACAAAATAGTAAGTTGCAATGATTTATTAGCCTTAATTCATTCGTTCCCTTTAGTAAGATGCCCTTGATACAATAAGCCTGCATTGGTAATCAGTCAACTATTAGAGCCAATCAAACGAATTTTTTGAACAGCAAATTTATGATATTTGGATCAACAATGGTTGATGTGGACATTTAATTAAGCAAAAAGGTTGAATTTTTGAACTAAGGCTTGTGGAGAACTTTGTATATATGCAATTGCATTTGATCAATTTTTAATCGTGTTATATCGTGTTATTATAGGTTCATTGAGTTTATCTAAATCATGGAATTAGAACATTATCGATTTAAGTTAGTCGGAGTGTAGTAGATTAGGATTAGAAAATTCTTTTATTTAATTTATATGTAAAAAAATAAATAAATATATTAAGATATAATAAAGATAATATGACTAATATGACTATATAATAAATATAATAAAAGATAACATAGATAAATTGATTAATATGACTATATAATAATTATAATAAAAGACAATAAAGATAATATGACTAATATGACTAATAGCAATAGCTTCTTCCAATACGGCGTATTTACTACGACTGCATCCCGTATATTATAAAACAACTTTGGTCCTTGCACGAACACACAATGACCTGTAACATCCCATAATCTTGGACCTGATTGAATTACTACATCAAATGTTGTAAACGTAGATGATGACATAATTATTTGTCCAGCCGATTATTTCGCGTCCATGATCAATAGACGCGTCGCTCTTTGACGACGTGTAGAATTCACGTCCGCAAGAATAAAACCCGTTTTTGTCCTTATAATTAAAGGCGAGCTACAAATTTCTAACTTTTTTTTCCCGGTCCAAAAAGGTTTCCGTCTTTTGATCGATAATTTATTCCTAAATCACCGGATTATTATTAGTATATTATAAGAATATGATATTAGGCTATCAATCCTTCATCCTATTTAAAATTGAAAAGGATAAGTCATCCTTTTCAACATCACTTTCTAGAACCTTCACATCCTCTGGTTCATCAACTTCTATCTAGAACCATTATCTTCTGGTTCATTTTGAAAAGCTCCATTTTACTCAAATGTTTCCGTAGCTTCAGCTTCTTGTAGTTTTCCAACAGAAACTTGAATTTTTTGAAATATGTTGTAGCATTGTTAAGATAATTGGAAAAAGTTGATTTTTCGAAACGTCCCACCTTTTCTTTCTATTTCGATAACTCAACTTCTTTTCTAGAGCCATTATCACTCTGATTTTGAAAATTATAGAAAAGGTTCTTAAAATATATTCTTTTATTTATAAAATTTAAATTTTAATAAAAATGGGTGGAAAGGAAGGAAACAAAATTTTTTCGACTTACTATTTTGACAGTGTCTACATGTGACTGGCAGTATGAGGTCACGTGCGTGAAGTTTATTTAGTCGAATTAATAATACAATCGATTTCATTTCTAATTAGCGAACGATATACATACACCGTCTGGACAAAAGTATCCGGATACTTTGGAATTTTGTTAGTAAATCATTAAAAAGATTTTTTATGAAATATCGTTAAAATAATCACGTGAGACTTTGTTTTACTAAATTCTGAAGGTATCCAGATATTTTTTATATATCATAATTTTAAATAGATAATTGAATGTTTAAAATAAAAAACATAATTGTATAATAATTTTCATATTTTAAATTTAATAATAAAAAAAACATATAACAACCCACAAGTTTTCAGTAACATACTCTTGAGTTTTCGGCTTTGGACGTACAATGTAATTTTATCAGGAGAGACGATAGTTTGTTTTGATGCACATGTCTCGTGTTGTTAAGATTACTTTTTCTATTATCAACTAAAAAAATGCGAGATGAAATGCTTTGATCCTAGATTGTAAAACACAAGTAATTCGTACGAACTACGTCCGGAACTTTTCTTCCAAGACAGCAGGCTTGTAAAAATTGGTTGTTCTATATAAATTTCAACCATCTTTTCCCTAATTTTATTTCATAAAAGGTAAATACATAACTTGATATGTGTTAAAATCAATGAAAAAATAATAAAAAATGACAAACCTTAAAATGTTCCTATTGCAAATAAATGAGCTTGATCAGATATAGTGATGCCTCCACCTGCTAACGAAATTATCAAAACCTTCAGCGTATGGAGGTACAACAATAAAGTAGCCGAGATACAAAGCTTTACCAAACGCCAAACTATTACAAGTTCTCCAAAAAATATTATTGCACTTTTTTTTGAAAATTAAATCTTTAGATATTTGAGATTCAAGATGTAACAGAGACAATTTAAATAAAGATACTTACTTCCTGAAGGAAATAACCGTTCAAGATTAAAATGAAGTAAAGGTCCATTATGAAGATCCATTTACTACATTTTTCACAAAAGTTTTTCTCTTTAGGAGTAGGGTCAAATTTTCTTGTAACTTTCATTTTTTTTTTTATTATTTTAATGTTGTTTTCGGAAATTTTTTTTTTTTTTTTTTTTTTTTTTTAGTATTTCCGGTACTTATATATATAACTCCTTACCGTATTCCTCCGAAAAATAAGATCCTCGTGACCATTATAATTGATCTTCATTTAATAAATCATATTTCAGATCTTATTTTATTTATTTTCGACGTCAATGCCATTTTTTTAAGAAGATTACGCTGACATTCCTGTAATTGTCTGAATGACTATCACCGAATTGCTAACTACCATTTTTTTCGTTGAAAAAAGTGATTTGTGGTTATAAGGCTTTTTTTCTGCCTAATAAGACTTCTCCAGAATCTTCCCTTGAGTTCAACAACGCTGTATTAAGCGGTCTACTAAATTGCCTCAATTTAAAATTGGACATGGGGCACAACATATTTGTTCTTCAATAAAAAATGATTGTTTATTTTTGAAATAAAAAAACTGTGATAATCAACATCTAGTCACGAGACTGTACCAAAGATCCTATAATAAGCTCCTATGTTCGGTTCGGTACGAATTTACCGATTCGTACCGTTTTCAATATAACCATAATTTTGGAATATGCAAATAGGTAAATGAAAAGTCTGAACGTTACAATAGTAACGTGATTAAACGTCGGAATATCGCAAAGCGAATTATTTGTTAGTTTAAAATTTAAAATTTAATTTTTTTCATAATTTTTTTATGTTGCAATGCTTTAATTTAATTTTATTTGTCAAATCGGTAAAGTACCGATCTGCAAAATCGTATCATACCGATTTTCCCTTCCATATATCGATAATTCTTTGTCTGATATATCAATATTAGATTATTTCTCTTATCCCTATATTATCCATGCTAAGTAATAAAAAAAAGAAAAATATGTACATTGTAGAACCCATTAAATCGGTAATTGTTCTAAATTAATAAAATTATTTCAGTCGGAATTAAGAATTATAAATTGTCAAAATACCTTGAGTCAGATTTATAATGCCGGGAGTAATTTATAACCTTCTTCGATTCTTAAACATTTGGTTTTCCATTCTTAAATGCATTTAATGAAAAAAATGATAAAGATATTGCATATCGGTACGTTTCGCGAAATTTGGAATTGTATCGTACCGATTATTCAGTATGACTATTTTGTAAATTCGTACCGTTCCGATTGTCCATATACCCCTACCTTTCACAATGGTGACAATAAAAGCGAAATTTCTTATTAAAAATATATTTTAATTGCAAACTACAATTGCATTAGACGTTATCTTTTGTTTTATGTTGCAAATGCTTTCTTTTTATTAAATTTTTAATTTGAAAAACAGCGTTGGATCAAATACCGATCTGCAAGATTGTACCGTACCGACAAACGATTCGAACCGTATCGATTACCGATTAAGATGTGCCAATTTGCGTGTGACAAATCTTTTTTTTTAAAAAAAAATGTCTAGCTCTTTTGAAACATCTGATGGTAATTCAACTTTGTGTACATATGAACAAGAATACTTAATCAAAAGTTGGTTTACTTTCCGATTGTGACCGACCAAATACTGATGATTATTTCTCAACGATTTCAACAAGGTTTTGATAAATAGATTCCTTATAATAAATTAAGAAATTTCCGATAAATTTCCAACGCATTCAGAACCATTTGTAAAGCAATTTTGTTGGATGGATCAATTAAAAATTGGTATAGTCGAAAACAATGGTGGAATGGAGAAAATCATCACTTGGTAAAGTAGATTATGGTGGCGTAAGAAAATAAATTAATGAATTGCCTCTTAAAAAAATGAAAAAGCTGATATAAATGAGACGTTTATGGGCTTAAAACATCCTTTTATTCTTAATAAATAACGTAGGTCGTTACATAAAAACCATTAATTTTTCGTTATAATTACTTGGTAAACAGGAAACAGGATCTGTTGTTAAAATCCGAAGACATGATTTTTTGTGCAGCAACTTTTTTTTAAAAAAATACTTTATGTTAATTAATTGTGACAGACGTCTAGAATGCTACACTTCGGACATTAATAAAATATAATTTATATTAACAAATAAAATTTTATTTTATTTAGTAGAAGAATTTTTAAAAAAAAATAGGTTTTGGGATAAAAATAATTCTCTAGAGAATTTAATCTTCTCAATCATAGATTATTTGCAGGATAATAATCGATCAGGTCCTATTAATAATATATTTGATTTGTCTAGTAAGCATATATTGTAAATCTTATTAGTTAATTTATAATATTCATGTTTTTGTTTTTTATATTATTTAGTACCATCTGAACAACTTGAACATTTCGTTGAAGACAATTAAATATAAATACTTATATACTTGTGTAGATAGTAGTTTTGTGAAATTTTCTGTTAATGAGTAAATATAATAACGTTGAGGAATTAGATCCTCATGGAAATAATGTAACAAAATAAAAAATATATTTAAAAGTTTCTTTTTTCATTTAGATAATAAAATTTGAATTTTCTCGACTAATTAGATGTAAAATATTGATCACTATGAGAAGTTGATCATACATATTAGTTTGTTAAAATGAAAAATGTATTATCGTTTGAAGACACGTTCGATAGTATGTTTATATTGTACCATGGAATTTTGTAAAGTATCATTAATTTGGATGCTTTAAAATCTAGAGATTCAAAGAAATTTAAGAAAATCGTTGAGGAATTTGGTCAATTAATATAACTAATATAACTGAAGTTATTTAGGCAGAATGGCTTATTTTGATGATTCAAAACGTCTACAAATGCTGACGCCGATACTATATATGCTTGACGATAGCCCTTATGACAAAAGATATATCCGAAATTTTTAATTATTCTGCGTTACAAATTTATTTTCAAAAAAATATATCTTTTAGTAGATATACACTTCATACTTACCGAGTTCATTTGTTCAGACACTTATTCATTACTTCGTTATTTTTTAAACATTTTTATGCGAAAATTTGAATTTATTTTGTGACCAATTATTTGAATCGGGGCAGCTAATAAAATTATCAGAACAAAATTTTTAATTGGAGTTAATATATTTCAAAGAATTATTTTTTATTTAAATAGATAGGTTAATGAGATGGCTAAGTATTATTATACTATCTTGGTAGAATCAATTAATTGAAAATAAAATAAAAAATTGCATCTACTTTTTAGCGATGCAATATCACATGCTTCTAAATTGAATTCAAGCTAAATGAGTAATGAAGAATATATTTGACATAAAACTATTTAATAACACTATGACCTAAAGCAAAAGAATCTGAAAGTAAAAAAAAATATATAATTGAAACAAATGAAACTAAAATAAACAAATCTCTCTCTTTCTCTCTCTCTCTCTTTCCTATTTCGAATAAAAAATAAAAATAATAATTATATATTGAAATTCTTATATTTTTAAATTAAAATCTTTTTGTGAAGTCATTATTTCTTTGATAAATAAAATATTATTTGTAATGTGATTAAAATTATGATCAAAAAAATCACTTTTCTATAAGTGATTCTATTTTTAAAATCAATCCAGTCAATCCAATCCCGATCCGAATCTTGGTAAAAATTGTTTAATTTTTATCTATTTTTTTTTTTTTTTTAAAAAAAAATAGAATTCGATTATGATGTAATACAATTTGTTGATGAGAAGTTGAACTTTTCAAAATGATTTTATTTGTATATAGTAAATATTTTTGAAGGAATAAAGAAAAGTTCGTTAAAAGGATTTAAAAATAATATATTGTATGGTGTATAATTTTTTTTATTCATTTCATTTTACTTTTATTTTTATTTATTTTTTAAAAAAAGAAAAAACTTGACAGAAAATATTCACACATATATATAATTTTTCTTGTGAGAAAGGGATGAATTTGTAAATATATTAAAATATTTTAGCATCTGAAATCGGGAAAACAAAAGGTGTTTCAATTGTTTGTTCTTTCATGAATTATTGAACCGTCTTTGTTAGATCAAGATGTATTTAGAACCATACATTTACTTTTTTTTCTTTAAAATATACTTTTGTTTTCCCAAAGTTTCCTAATTAAAACATTACTTTATGGATTGAAATGAAAAAGAAAATTTCGTTTTTGATAATTAATTTCTACGTGGAACAATAGTAGTACTTTAGCAATTGTTGATAGTATGATTGACATATGAATTATTCAGCAACAGCAAATTTGAAAAAACGAAGAATCGCGAATAATAAAATTATTGAATGATGATTTGCGTGTTGTTTGTTCGCTAAAAGATCACATGTATCACATATATTATTTTTATCCCTTAACTGTTCTCCAAAACTGGCTGGTCAGGAAAAAATTTTTTTTTTGGTTTATCATATGCTATTCGAATAGATGAATAATTATATGTAACCACTAAAATTTCTATTTGCTATTAAATTGATTGAACAATCAACATTTGCACTTCACTTTTCGATATATCAAAAAATAGAAAGTTCCAAAGAATGTAAATCCGAAATAATAATCTAAATTTGTTTAATCAAAGTTAAACTTCATCAAATTTGATCGAAGTTTTTGAATTTATTCCCATAAAATGATTTAACTCAGTTCAATAAAAAAAAAAATACCGATCACGAAAAAAAAAAAAAAGAATATTTTTCCATTTATTTGTTTAATGGCGAAGAATAATTTATTGAATAGATGATAATTCACAAAAATTTATTATTGTCTTAAATGGTCTCCAAGGAAAAGAAATTTTTTTTTGCCACATTCTTTACTTTCTTTCTATGAACGATTTTGTGTAACCTCTGAAATTTTAAACAAAAGAATGTAAAACCGAAATAATACTCTAAATTTGTTTAGTCAAAGTTAAACTACAAATATTAAATAATCTACTATTTAAATTGGTTTATTTCACGTTATGTATTTGACTTTTTTGACTTTTTGCCCGAAGTATTTGGATTATTTCCCATAAAATGATTTAATTCAATGCAAGTCATGTAAAAAGTTCAACAAAACAAAAAAAATACCGATCATCGATCACTGTGCAAAGAATATAAAAAAAGAATTTTCTCGACATAATTGGATGGAAGATTATGTAGTATCGTTAGAGTTTATAATATAAACCATGAAGAATGGTTCCGCACCTTCTTATGGTCCATAAAAAATGCTCTTGACATTGATATCATTAATACATTAAAAAATGGCTCTCGTCTATATCAATATATTTTTAATTTCAAAGTATTATATAATTAATTTATTCTGTGTGAAAATCTTCAAATTTAGTACCATAAATTTGGCCAGAGTTATGTAATTTTAAAAAATCTTATTATGGCCAAAACTTAATTTCGGCCGGAATTAGGATCAACGATTTTTAACAGATTTTAAAGTCTTTTTTAATGAGTTGATGCAAAGGTAGATGGCGGAAGGTGTTGATTAGCAAAACCTAGTTTCGATATTGACTTTTACCAAATTTTTTACTAAGGCAAAACCGCAAAAGTTTATTAATAACGCGTCTAAAGTAATATATTTATATTTTTTAATATAAAAAATTCTTTATATAAAAGGTTACTCTGACAATATTATAGGATTATATATACACGAAAAAACATATACTGTACATATATACAAACTCATGAAACGAAATCCCAAATTCCATATAATAATAAAATTTGAAATTCGAGTATTCAAAGATGATGATGTCGGATAATAAACAAGGAATCCTATTTCATTAAACCATCATCCAACGCGAAATTCTTGGGAAATTCGTAATTCTATTGCTCCAGGTGGTATTTTTAATTGGGACATCTAAATTAAGAAATACGTGATGAATGTAAATATCAGATATTAAATATAATCGTTTTAACAAACTTACTATAGAATGGGTTATCGATTTCATAACCGTTGAGCATCACTATACTAAAGTAACGCTGCGCCTCTTCAATATATCGTTTTGAGAAGGTGTATCGAATAGCGATGCCGACTTCTCTAAGAGAACCTCCTTGTGCATAATCTATTAAAATTCTTAAGAAGTTGTCGGGATATTTCAAAAAAGAATCCAAATTATGATAACAATCATTATAAAACCTAATATGCCGAAGTTTGCATTTAGATTCCGATAATAATACTTTTAAACATTCTTCTACGATGGGGAAGTTCACTTCTAATGTTTCTAATGAGCTTGAAAGTGCTCGAGAAAACTTTTCAAATGTTTTGATGTTATTCAACACATGAACAAAATCATTGTCAAAATATTCAGAACAACTAATGAGCATCGTCAATTTGAAATGAACTAATTTATTCAGGTTATTTAATAAACTCATTAACCAGCTTGGACAAGAAGTGCGATCCGCCTCAATATGAAAATGAGTGATATTCAAAAGACCCTCTTCTTGAATTTCTTTAATTAAAGAGCAATAAATATACTGGATTTTGAGGGATTTCAAATTGTTACTTGTTGATAAAAGGATTTGTTTATAAAGTGCGATTGGAATCGGTCTTATTCTGTCAGGTTTCCCATTGTTGATAAATAAATTCTCATAATAATGTAGGTGTTCTAAATTAAAGAAACATCTGGGGGGAACCGAAAGATTTGGTGAAACTTTTTCATTAGAAATCATCGGGAGTTCAAGTGTAACTAAATTTGGTAATAAATTTAATATGGATAATAAGAGTTGATTGGACAAAATTGGACTATATTCGTCTTCTATTCTAAGAAAAGTTAAAGATGTTGAGTGCTTTTGTAGGGCGTGGAGAAATGATCTAGTTTCATCGGCCTTCCAAAAAACGTTAGCTGATAAAGATTTTAATTGTCTCTGAGATTGAATGAAATTGATCAAGTCTCTAGATAATTCGGAATGTTCTCTTTTTGTATCGATATAGATTTGTAAATGTTGAATTTTTTTTGATAGAACATTTTGAAGCCTTTTGAAATTAATCGTTATAGGCGGAATTAGGTTCATGCTGTTGTTTCTATTGAAGAGTCCTAACGATAATTTATTGACGTCAACCAAACTTTGTTGGTGATTTTTAATCGCACAGATATCAAACAAAGAATGTGGTCCGCTTAATAAATCGTTATAGTGAATATTAAGAGAACCGTATTGACCCCCCTTGTTGAAAAGTAGATTTCCAATGTGATGGTTAAGCGTATCAACTTTTTTGCTAATGATTTCTCTCCTTGATAATGATTCATAGATATAATAATCATTCTTGTCTCTTAAATCAGCCAAATACAATGTAACCCAAAGTCTCATCGCTCTTTGTAATGGGTTTAATTCAAAGTCTTTCATGAAAGTGTGATATTCAAATGTAGGGAGGTCCACTTGAATCGATTTTTCGTTTTCCAACCATTTTTTGTCAATTGAGTGAAGGCATTGAATAAGTGTATTAAATAATTGGACCAATCTTTTATCGTAATTGATGAATTTAAATGGATTTTTCCAAAGTATAGGAATAAAGGTTCGACAAAATGATCGATTTACGCGGATGCATGAAAATAATGTATTTAAATCATTTCCGAGGAAATTCATCATAACTTCATTGCATTCATAATTCGTAACTAAGAATATAATAATGCTAGCGTTATGTTCTGACATCTTGAAGGATTAATATAGAAATCCACCGTCAGATAATTAAAGTAAGTTGGGGCGCTTTTATCCAATTTTTTGATCATTCCCACACACAATTAACCATGTGAAAGATTTCAATTGAATGATAAGAACAGGACATAATCAAGTACATGTCAAATTTTTTTTTGTCAATAAGGACTTATCTTATCATGGCGTAATATGCAAGTCATGTCGGTATCAAGTCATGCATGCATGTATGGGAATTTCAAAAAAAAAACTTGAACTACGCACTTCGCCATAAAAATACTGTAGCTTACATTAATAAGATTTTTCCTATTTTTTCATATTATTTCATTTATGGTGGTATTTTGAGTTTAATTAGTGCTCCAAAGGGTCGGGTACCAAAATTCGAGTCGGATCAATAACCCGGGTCTGACCCGACTCATTCGGAGAACTTTGGCTAATTTTTAAATAAAACAAACTAAAAAAAATTATAAGTTCGACCGAAAGTTTGAGATGTTGTTTATTTTTATTTTTATTTTTTAATACCCCTTTTTTTGAAAATCTGGATTGGAGGTATAAATTTATTACAGTTTTCGCAATAAATAACAAACGGTGTCATCATAATCAACATCTCGGACCCTCACATTTATTACATTTTTTTAAGTAAATGAATTTGCCTCGAAGCTCTACTCTGCCATATAAAATAACAACTCAGCCATATAATTTGTCATAATCTCTAATGATAATCAAATTTTCCATGTCATAATAAACTTCGCCACATAAATAATGAAAATAAACAAAAGTCAAAATCAATAATTTCGCCACATCAATAAACTTTGCCACATAATATTTAAATTTATGGTATAAAAATTTCAATATTTAAAAAAAACCGTTAAAAATTTTAAAGCATAATTATAATAAGGAAAGATATATAATATTATTATTGATATTAAATTTTTTAGTTGATATCTTAATAATTTTTAAATGCAAAATCAATTGAATTATTTAAAAGTTATCAACATAATCTAATCCAAATTCGGAACTTATTTATTTTAAATTTGAAAGAGAAACCAATTTATTCAATTAAATTTAATTAATCCTGGCTAGCAAGAATATCTTTGGCAGAAATTTTGGATAATACTTTAATCTATACAAGAATTGATTTTAAAAGCTACCTAAGAAGAAAAATAAATCAACTGTTATATTTGATGGTTGAAAAAATATTATTTGTCAATCACTGAAAATTTAATCAAGGTAGCAAATATATGGGATAAGAAAAATAATGCTTCATATTTATCAGGAAGCAATATCTCTGGAACTTTACTGAATATACTTAAATTTAACTTTCCCTTTCTATTAAAAAAGGATTATATGTTTCTGATAATGATTAATATAGCAAAGGATTTATTTAAAAACATTAGTGCTTTGATAGTAAAACTGCCAAAAAAAATTTTTTTTAGGTCCTTTCAATAATATTAGTATATGAACTTCCTTTTAATGAATAACTCATCCAAAAATACCAAAATCTTCCAAATTCTTTTATAAATTGTTTTGTTATCAGATAGCAATGAATACAAAATGGATCTGGATTCTCTTTTAATATTTGATTATCTTCTTATGAGTATGCTTAACTATTCTTTGATAATATTCTAATTGGCTAAATATATACTATTTCTCACTTAAATACTTAAGAATTTTGTCAATTATAATCTTCAATTTATGAAATCTTATAATCTTTAATACTATTTACTTCTTTCTGAATTTTTTGAATAGTAACAAATACTACAATATCTTCTCATTTTGCTAAAAAAATTATTGAGTACTCTTATTTAAAATTCTAATTGGAATTCTTGAGATGTATATAATGGTCTAAGCTTGACTTTAACGTTTGACATTAATTTTTGATATTAACTTTTATTAAAATCTTGATTATAATTCCTAGTAAATCTACTTAATTTTGTTGAGTATCTACCTAACCTGCATCAAATTTGTTATACAAGTTGATTGTAAAGTCTACTGACTGAAAAATAGACTTTAATGTATATAATAAGGTTATAAGTATCTAAAATATAATAATTTTAACTTAATAATCTTAAAAACTTGTTTACGTTAATAAAACTATTAAATTAATAGTATATCAATTTATAAGTATAGGGAATATTAAGGATATAAATATAAATTGAAAATATGTAAGAATACTTCAAATATGTAGGAAGAGCAATAATAATAGATTGGATTTTAAGTCACGAGTTTAACAGATCAATATTATAGAAATAAAGTTTGGTTTATTAATAAAATATAAGTAGATTAATATGATTCAATAAACTAAATAAACTTTTATTCACAAATTTATTAGAATATGAATTTCAAAATTAATTTTTTAATTAACTTAATTAAAATTAAACTGAATCTAAACTGAATTTTTATTTTATTATAGCAATTTTTTATCTTATTTATATAAGATATTTGATCTACTTTTATTATTAATTTAAAATAAAGTAAAACTATAAAAACTAAAGAAACATTATAACTATGTTAACTAATTTAACTAAGTAAACAAAAAAACTTATTAACTTAAATAACTATATAAACTTAGTTAACAATGTTATTATCATTTCTGAGGTTTCAGTCATTTTATTGTTAGGCTATAGCTTAAGAAATTATAACTTTCTTTAGTAATGATTTATAAAGTTATAATAGTGATCATATATTTTGAATTATCTTTGCTTTTATTAGTCTAATAATAACTTTGAATTTATATTTATTGGAAAGTTCTTGATGAAATAGTTCTAATGTTTATATTTTTATTGAAATATAATCAGTAAGTTAAAAGTTATTTTAATTAACATTTTTCTTCTTAAAAAATGAGCTACTTCAAATAATATCCTTTGAATTTCAATATGTTGTATTTCTTATTATTAATTTACTTGTTTGCGAATTTCTAATAATATAGTTTTCAATTTGTTCAAATTATTTCATGTGATTATTAATTCTGTTGATCAATCATGCTATTTTCAGTTTAAACAGGTTTAATTTATATGATGATTATTAATAAATATGAACCAATAATTATTTGTTTATTTTTCTGCAAAAGAGGAATTCTCATGATCTTGAGAATCTGTACAGCCACTTCTTTTTCATTATAAATATCTTATCAAATTTTTCTTCTAATTTTCTCATAATTTTAATAATTTACTACAATTTTAAAAATAGAAAAATTTCAATGCCAATGGTATTTTAATATCTGACAAGTTAGCCTTTATTCTTGACAAAAAGAGGATTGCTATTAAGTTACTGATGATTTAGAAATGAATGTCCACTAACTCTAACATTAACTAGGTATAGCTCTGGATCAAATTAGACATTCTATAACTGAAATTGAAAATTTAAATACTAGACTAATTAAACTTTCTTCTCACATTTCTTCTAATAGATATAAAATGAAATATCGAATACTTAGAAAAACCTATAAAATATTTTCTTTGGTTTTAAATTTTTCTATTTATTACAATAATCTTGAACATTTTTTCTAATGTTGTAATTTTCGTTCCAGTAATACTAACAATTTAAATATATTAAAGCTTTATTTCTTTGTATATTAAATTTAGAAAACTCTTGATAATTATATATCTTATAGCTCCTGTATCAATCATTACATTAACTTTTCTTCTAAAGATTTTTGCTTTAGCAAAATATGCATTCTGTGATTTTTATTCTTTCTATTAAGCTTATGCAATAGTTTTTGATATTTGTAAATTTTCTAGTATTTTCTGTATATAAATAATATGTATTAATGTAATTTTTTTCTTCTACACTTATCTTCATATTGCTTAAAGGTATTTAGTATTCATGAGCTTTGTTTGTCTGGTTCAATGTTCCATATTTGATTAATCTCAATGAAATCAAATATGCTATTATATACTATGGAAATACTATATCTCTTGAAGAAAAACACAATTGTAGAAATCCTTCTAACAGAAATGTCATTATTACTTTTTCTAAAATCCGTAAACCTTAACAACTAAAAGAAGCTTAAGCAATCAATATTTCTAAATATTGTATAAGATGTGCTCATATTGACACATTCATTAAAGAACTTAAGTTTTGAAACCAATTTATAACTGATTTTAAGGGATTTAAAGAATATACTACAGCATTTGAAGCTATGAGAATTATGTGACCCTATAATTGAAGAACTTATTACTTTTATATTTAGATTGTATATATTGCTTTTGCTTCTGAAGAAGATATACTTAATATCTATAAGATTAGAATATCACATAATAAATACTTCTTGATAATAGACATTGTAAGCTCAATAGATTCTATACATCACAATAGTTTTCTCATCAATTACAATATTCCTCAAACCTTCCTCTAATAATAACACATATACCTCAATTTCATAATAATTAGCAATTTGTAAGTATGTAGATAATAATTTACTGATCCTCACCTTCTATGATATTGATACTTCACAAAATGGAAAAGACTGTGTTTTATCTTTAAAGATATACCAATCTGTTAACTTTGATCCTCAGCAAATTATAAGAGCTGGATTTCATTAAAAAATACTAAGCTAAGCTAGATTCTCAAATGCTTTTTTTCTAATCTGAATGGATTACTGGCTTAACGATTATAAATCTCTATACCAGACAAACTACAGAAAAATGTTAATTCTATTAATAACTGAACTGACTCTAATGATCAAATGGATT